GGGCTGTTCAACTTCAATAGATTTAGCTGGTCTTATAATTCTTAGCTGGGTTTATTGTGATCACAAATGGATGAAGTGTTCAAACTATTTAATGGACTACCATGAATGATGTCTATCTTAGTTATCACCAAAGACAGTTAAGAAAAGCGTAAATAAGAAATCTGTTGCTTTTGAAATGCAGTGGAGCTGCTGGTCTGTTTTTTGTGGACAAAGCCCGTAAGATTCATGCTGTTGCTGCGAATGGTTTAGTATTTGAGATGAACTCTGACACTGGAGAAGTCATCAAAGAGTTCAAAGTGTCAAAGAAGCCCTTTTCCTCAGTGGCTCATTCAACTGGTTTGTATCCAACTTATGTCTACACTTTCTGTTTTACTTTAAGTACTTCTATTTGACTTCTTTATTCTCAATGTGAAGACGAGAAAATTATAGCTGCAGCCAGTGATAAGTTACGATTTCTAAGTTTAGAAAGTGGGAAAGAGTTGCTGAAGTTGTCTCCTGCCTCGGTAAGCTGTCTTAAGTTTTTGTCTTCATCATGTGATGTTCTTTTAAAGTCTGAAAAGATCCATAAACATCAAAAGCTGCTATAACAGGCTGTTGCACAGCGTTTATGGCTATCTGATGATGCCCAATTTGCTGTTACTGCTGGGCTTGGCGAGAGGCAACTTCAAGTGTGGAAACTTGATTTTGGTGAAAGGGCTGCAGATTATGGGCAGGTTCTTTCCATGAAACATCCTCCTATAATTGTTGAGTGCAGGAAAAATTGCAAGGGAGAAGACGGTATGGTTGTCCTTGCAATATCAGAGAAGGGTGTTTGTTATGTTTGGAACTTTGAGTCTGTCACTGATGAAGTTGTAAAGCCAATTAAGATCACTGTAAAAGCTAGCAAAGGGGAAACAGAAAAGAAAACTGGAAGAGCAAAAAAGAACATTGCGCCCATAATTGCTGCCAGGTTGCATGTTTTGGACAGAGATGCTCATTTGAGGGCCTTGATTGCATATGGCTCTGTGGAATCCCCAGAGTTTACATCAGTAGACATTTCAAGTCCAGGGGAGGATATCGTCATAGCAGCAGTAGACCAGGCCGAGAAAGTGCTTGCTGCAGTTCAAGAAAATGGTCATGCCAGAAAAGGTGTTGTTAATAGTGGTTTACATTTTCTTGTCTCCTTGTGGAAAAATCAGGACTCGTTACAGAAGTCTGTGGTACTGTCATTCCCCTTCCCTATCCCATTTGTACTACTGACTCGGCCAAGCAGTGCTGAGCTGCATTTTTTTGAAACTCGAATTCTTGTCTTGGTGTTTTAGATGATGTGATACAGTCACTGTTAGAGAGATCAATTAATTTGTAAATTGACCAACTCTTCTGCAAACGAGGCCATCACTCTGTTAGTTTTATCAAAGATTTTTAAACTTTCTTGCATCACAACACTGATACATTTTGTCTATGATAAATTGACATTTTTGATTTATGCCGAGAACAGTTCCCAGAACAGAATTATCCTTATAATCTGTCTTTCCGATTGCCCCTCCCTCTGTTTCAGGTGCAGATATGGAAAACGAAGGTGTTAAATTAATCCAGAAAAGCAAAGTGACGAATAAACGACCAGCATCTGATCTGGATGTCACTCCACCAGTGACAATCACAGATGATGGTATGACATACTTGCATGATTCTGTATTGCTCACATAGAAATTCAACATATGTTAGATGCTCCCTGGAGCTGTTGCTCCACTACAGATGACTAATATTTATATCTTGGAGAATGGCTAAGAATGTTAAAGGAAAATTCAGTGGATAGATAATCTATACCGGTCTCTCTAAAAAACAAAACTGTATCCGTCCATTTACTTGATATTGCTTCAGAAACTTAATAGTCAATCCTAGTGTTGACTAGCAAAAGGAAGAATTGAAGTCGGGGTGTCATATATCAGGGGTACAGGAAGGTCGGTTGTATTATGAGAATATCTAGGGGGTGGTCAATGTATTTGACCCTGATATTTATTGAATTTGGAAGTTGAAATGTTAAGGTAGTGACCGTATTAAAAATCAAAACACAAGTAGTATTCTCTTTTTCAAACATGCAATTGTATATAAACATTCTATGGCTTCGTAGATGGACGTTGTGTTATGCAGGATATTATGCACAAGTTAACTGCTTCCACTATAATAGACTTGTGGAGTTGTTTGAAACCTGGTTAGTCCTTCGAGTGTTCAGTAGAAAACCTGTTCATTCCCTTTAAAAGGGATCCTTTTTTTTGTCTTTAGCGGGCAGTGCCTTTTTGCATCATCTTTCTGCTGTTTCTGTCTGTTGAGCATTAGGATGTGGGGTCATTTGATATTTGAGACTTGATTCAGAAATTTGGTATGAATAACATTTTGCTACCTAGAGGATAACCTTTTTGATGATGTGTAGGTAATGGTGAACCTATAGATGGAGTTCAGATTGATGATCTAAACGAGCCGACCATGGGTGAGAAACTCGCGAGGCTCCATTTGGCAGACAACAATGAAGATAAAAGCAATGAGGATCTAGAATCTCCTCCTCAAACAAAGCCTCCAAGTGCTGATTCAGTTCATGTTCTGCTCAAGCAAGCCCTTCATGCTGATGATCGAGCACTTTTGATAGATTGCTTATACAGACAAGATGAGAAGGTTATGTTTGTACTGAAATATTTCTAAGGTTCTAGCATCTGAATTGATATGTTATTTCCTAATGGGTAGGATGTATCTTGGCTATGCAGGTCATTGCAAATTCAGTATCTCTTTTAAATCCATCAGATGTTCTCAAGCTTTTACAGTCACTCTTGTCAATTATCCAGTCAAGGTAATGGAGATTGTGAATTTCATTAATCTGGTTGATCCTATATACAGTGTTTTGTCTAAATTGTGCATTTGACCACACACTTAAGATATCGAGTTAGATTGCACCAAAAGAATGAATGCTAATCATGACAGGGATTACCTCGTTCCAATTGTCAGCCAATATTGTTCCACCAATTCTATTAACATAACGAAACCTTTTTGCCATTAACATTTGCAAAGTGCAGTTGGCTTCTCTCTTAAGCCTCCATTGTCATAGATTGGTCAAGTTAATGTTTATTATGGTACTTTTTCTTGACAGGGGCGCTGTATTGGCTTGTGCCCTTCCCTGGTTGCAAAGTTTACTTCTTCAACACGCTAGTGGAATAATGTCTCAAGAATCCTCTTTGCTTGTACTCAACTCTTTATATCAGGTCAGGGAGTAACTCTTCATGTGTTGATAGCACCTGTAGCGACTGTTAGAATGTATTAAAAATTCCTTTGTTGGTCGTTGTGCAGCTTATTGATGCCAGACTTTCAACTCTCCACCAAGCTCTTCAGCTATCAAGCTCCTTAGAATTGCTTTATGCAGGGGTAAGGGTAACATGTGAAAATGTTGCCCCTCTCAAACCTCTTTTCCATGGAATCTTGACTAATTTATTTATATTTTTCGCAGACTATTGATGATGGTGATGAGGAAGATGGTGCCATACAGCCTATCATCTATGAAGATGAAAGTGACGAGGAGGGTTCTGAAGTTGCTATGGAAACGGAAAGCAACCCAGATGTTGAGGAACCAGAGGCTTTTAGTGACATTAGTGATCACGGATTGAGTGATGGCATGAGCGAGTGAGTTCTGACCTAGAATTCAGCCGTTTTATGAGAACGCAATTTCTGGACAAATGTGCAATCCGAGAAAATGGGCAGCAGATCCAGATGGGAAGTTTTGAGTGAGATCAAGAACGAGGTGATAGGGGACCAGACAGGAGATCTGTAACCTGAAAATTTTGTTTTTATAAATTATACTAGAGAATATCATCTGACTTTAAGGCTTCAGAGAGGGCTTTTGGTAGTTATCTACCCGCCATGTACAGGCGTAGATGAAATTAAAGTTGTATTCTTTGTTTCCCTCTTCTTTAAGCAACTTTGTACTTTATTTTAGCAGAGATAGGAAATCGGTGCGAAAGCGTTCCTTTTTTGTTTATTTGTCGTGCATTATTCTGGGCATCAAGTCCAAATGGAGATTGTCACAGTATCCAGTAGAGCCGAGTTTGAGCTAGTCAACTGAACAACTTCAGTGTCGAGCTTGAGCTGTGTTTAACCAAATGGCCTAAGTGTAATTGAGCCGAGGTCAAGTCGGTGGAGCCTCAAGTCTGTTTTTTTACGTTTGTGAGAATCGATAGTTTAATTTGAGAATTGAAATCAGATGCAACTGAGCTATATGTTTATTAGTTTAAATTAAAGCCAATAACACATTGTGGTTAGTGTAAACATACAACATCAACATGAATGAAATTTTCAAAACCAAAAAGATAAACTAGCAATTAAATTAATAATTGTGCTGTGAATCGAACTTCGTTAGTAGTTTGGAATTTAAATTGGAGTTTTTAATTGCATCAATAAGTAAAAAGCTCTGACACGTTAGAACATAATTAATGAGAATTTTTATTGTGAGGGCTGATAAAGCTCATTTACTTCGAGTCGCTCAGCAGTATTCTGTATTTGCATGAAAGTGACCCTGGATATGACTTTCAATTAGCTCAATATATAGCTCAAATTACGATTTACACCATCTCTTGGTTCAAATTTTGGATGGGAAACGAAATTAACCAAATTTATATCTACTTTTTTTTCCTTCAACCCTGGATAATTTGAAATGAAACAAGAGAACCAACGACAAGTCCTCGTGGAATCTGCACTGCCGATTTGGTACGTAGTAGACGATCACAATGACGATATATTTAGCAAACAGAACTGGTAACAACTAATGACATACCCGAAATTTGCCGTGCAAATTGGTGGCTCCGCCACGCAACGCTGATCGACTGCATATACGTAGCAGTTCAACAATCTTGTACAACCTACTCCGAGGTAATTTACTAAGGTGAATTTGACGTCCCCATTTACTGCATGAAAAATAATATAATCTAAACACTTTCCGGAAAATAATAAATTAAGAAAAGCAAATTGAAGGGATATCAAGATGTCTTAACTCGAAATTCCACGGTATCGATTATACAGACCACATCACATGGATTACATTTTTAGCAGCTTGATGTCGAGGTCACAGTTCAGACTACAAAAGCTAAAACCTTTTTATTATTACATAAACCTTTACCTCCTCACAGGGAAGCAAACTACAAAGCAAAAAACAAGCTAAACACAAAGAGTACAGGAATCCCTCAAGAAAGAAAGAGATCCAAGTCTAAAGTTCTCTGCTTTTTGTAGCAGTAGGATCTTCATCAGTATCGGCCATGCCAAAGGTATGCTTCACTGCATCAGCAGCACCCTGAGCCATGCTCTTCACTTGTTCTCCAGTCTTTTGAAGGATTCCCCCAGTTTTCTCTTGCCCAGCTTGTGCAGTTTCTTTTGCAGACTCCATCATTTCTGAGGCCTTCTCTTTTGTAGCCTTAGCTGCTCCGCTGGCCTTCTCTTTGGTTGCCTGAGCTGCTCCACTGGCCTTTTCCTTGGTTGCCTGAACTGCTCCGCGAGCCTTCTCGTCGGTTTCCTGAGCTGCATCTGCTGCCTTATATTTGGCGGTGCCTGTCTTATCGTGAGCCGTTCCTTTGGCCGAATGCGCCGTCTCAGAAGTCTTGTCCTTTGCTGCTTGCGCCTTGTCCTTCATGCTTTCCATTGTTTGACCAACCTTCTCCTGCACTCAAAACAAAAATATTAAGAACCACCAAAAACTTCATAATTCGTCAAAAATCTATAACGATAACTAGATAGAATTACATGGATATAAAATGGTTGTTTAAGTTCTTCTGAATCAAATATATATTATTATAGAAACTAAAGGGAGAGATACCTGAGTTCGGCCCTTGGTTTCACCAGCTCTGTAGCTCTGTTCGTGGGAAGCCATTCTTAAAGTTACAAAAGTAAATTGATATGGATGTAAGTGCACAAAAGTAGATAGAAATAGAAAGATCAATGAATATTGGTTGAAGTGAGATTGGAGCAATAGTTTTGCATGGTTTATAAGGACATGGTCGATTGTTACATTGTTGACACGTATCCTGTTAACTGACGCGTGTAAGGCACGTGTCACCGTTTAGTTAGCTTCGGTTCATTCCATGAGGATCAATACCAATGACGAAAATGATTACGGATAACTTCCTGCCTGTTTCCATGCATTAGAAGGTTGACATCCTTTTACGTTTGGTCTATTGCTAAAAAAGTGGGAATTGATAGTTTAAATTATTTACTATTCCTATATTTTTGAAGTTGTTAAATTAATTTACTACAATTGATTGTCTTTTATTAACGTACGTACGTTAAAATCTTTGTATACGCAGTATATTTTGAATTAATACACACTGAATTTACAAATTTGCAGGAAAAAAAGTTGATTTTTGTTCCAACTTATAGGTGTAAGACTTATGTTATTAAAAAAACTTTTTTAAAAAAATATTCGTTGTGTTTTAATTAAAAGCAGCTTGTCAAAAATATAAAGGAAATATTTATAGTTGAAAAGCAACGATAACTTAGGAAGTAGGATTATGATGGAAATTCTTCTCTAGACTTCTATATTCACTTTTTCAGACATTAAGAGTCCATTTGGACATAAGAAATTTTTTTTTTTTTTTTTTTTTCCGAACGCTTTTTTTCGAAATCAGCGTTTGTTTATAAAATTTTTAATTTTCACTTGAAGATACATTTTAGAATTTTTTAAAATTTTAAAAAACTCCAAAAAGTTATTTTTTAAAATTTTTACTCACATTACTCATAAAACTTAAAAAACAACCCAAAATTATATTCATGTCCAAACACAACTCTAATTTTCAAATATCATTTTCACTTAAAAATTTTTTTCACTTTTTTTTTTTTAAAATTTTACAATTCTTATGTCCAAACGCCCACTAATTAGGTAGCTTTGAAAGAATGGAAAATGGCTATATGTGTCCCCGTACTATCAAATATTATATATATATATATATATATATATATCCTTCGTTATACTATTCGACACTTTTTATCCCTATTGCTACCCATTTAAATATATTTACCCCTCAATCTAACAGACCTATGGACCCAGCCTTCCTATTACACGTGGTTTCATCTTAAGCCCCCACCCCTTTTTTTATTTTCGATTTTATAAAGCCCCATCTTAATATTTATTACCCAAATTAATACCTCTTAATAACCCACCCCAAGATCCATCCTAAAGGTTATTAAACACTTGCCGACGCCACCGCCTCAATGACCGCCAACATCTCCGCAATGAAATTTCTCTCTTTCCTATCTCTTCTATTTTCATCCCTCCAACAACCTTCTTGCTCTCCCGCGATGAAACTTAAGACCTCTCATCACCTTCAACATGGACTATCATCGGAAAATTTGATTTCTATACTCTAATTCCAACTTCTTAGAAAACACAGAATATCTACAACTACTAAACAAATTATAATCGCACTCATTTCGTTCCGAAATAAACCCATACCGAAGTGATCAAATCAAAATCTTAAGATTCTTCAAATTCTCCACGATGAATCTGTGTCTCCATTAATACAATTATTTTTTGTATTCACCAAAGAGGTATTATAGAAAAGGAAAGAAAATAGAGTTTGGCGTATATAGAACTTTGAACATTTGTACGATTTAAATAACTTTGTTTTGAATATGAAAAATCAAGTAGGCAAGTAGCTAAATAAAGCACCAAGGAGGAAGAGAAGATCAATTGAGAAGCTACCATATTTAGTGAAAAAAGAAAGCATATTATGTGCATTATATATTTTTCTCTGTTGAGTATTGAGTATAAATGAACGGAGTGGAGGAATACGATCAAGGCCTTTAAAATTTAAGACTGGAGCTAATTTGAACCTCAAGTACTGGAGCTACTCTGGAGATTCAATTACTGGGGTCTTTGGGGTGGGTTATTAAGAGGTATTAATTTGGGTAATAAATATTAAGATGGGGCTTTACAAAATAAAAAATAAAAAAAGGATTAGGAGCTTAAGATAAAGCCACGTATAACATGAAGGCTGTGGTCTAGGGTTCTGTTAGATTGAGAGATAAATATATTTAAATGGGTGACGACAGGGGTAGAAAGTATCAAATAGTATAATGAGGGGTATATATAATTAATATTTAATAGTACAACAACAACAACAACCCAATAAATTCACACAGTGGGGTCTGATAAGGGCAGAGTGTACGCAGACCTTACCCCTACCCCAGAGAGTAGAGTGGCTGTTTTCGAAAGACCGTCGGCTCAAGAGGACAAAAGAGACAATATATCAGTACCATCAACAAAACTATATGAATAATAGCAACATCATAAGAACCAGAAAATAGATGAAAAAGAATAACAAAAACCAGTGAATAAGGCCCGGTACTATGAAAAACGAAAGAATAGTGTGGACACAATAATAATCACTAGCAGCCTAGGACAAAACCTTATCAGACTAGCCTCCCACCCGGACGAACTTTATCAGCTACCTCCTAACCTACCACCCTAATGCTCGACCACCACACCTTCCTATCAAGGGCCATGTTCTCAGAAATCTGAAGCCACGCCATGTCCTGCCTAATCACCTCTCCCCACCTTAGTGTCGGGGTCCAGATGACAAGCCCGGCTAAGTGCACGCTGCCATGCCATGATCTTCTTCTCGGATTTGGCATTCTATGTAGCAAGGGCGTCCACTTGAGCTCCAAAATCAGTGATGGAAGTACGCACCCCCGCCATCTCTTGCTCTAAAATGCTCATTCTCGTTTCCCATTTGCCGCCTGAAGGTTCCCGACACCCTGCTCATGCGGTGGAGAAGCAGCGACATCCTCACCGTGCACCTCATTTCCCTCGTCAGGCGCATCAAATTCCTCACTATCCGCCTCAGCAGGCCCAGCATGTTCCTTCTCAATTACCACTTTATCAGCCTGAAATTTCTGTTCGCGTTTGACTTTCCCATCCGTGGCCCTGTTTTCCGGCACTCGTGCCTCATGGCATAACCGAGTGACTAATGAGGGGAAGAAGAACCCATACCTCTGCACAGGACAACGAATGGTCATCTCATTTTGAATGACCTAAGCCACATCAAAATCGTGGTCATTGATGAAGCACCAAATCAGAGCAGCCCGGGGACCATTCACCTCAGTGGTGTTGCCTGAAGGCAGCAAGCTATTATTAACTATGTAGAGCCAGCACTTCCCTTCAAAGGTAAGTGAAGCCGAGTGAAATTTGTGCCCCTCTTTTTGCCACACTACCTCCTTGTCAGGTACACAAATGGTTGCAAAGAACATGCACCACATGTATGGTTTTCTGCTGTATGTGGAGTAGTAGTCACCTGTATAAGGGTCTTCCACGTACTCCGACAAATGATACGCCCTTCGGATGGCCTCCTTGGAGAAGTCCACTCTCTTTCTCGAGACTGTGCAAACATGGTCTTTATGTGCCGGGCAGTTTGCATAAAACTCCCGAACAACCATTAAGTTTGCCTCATCAGGTTTTTCAAAGAATACACCCAAGCCTCGCCTGACCAATTCATTATACACTGTGGGACAGTCATTTTGGAGAGACCCAATATCAATTTCCCTTTCCGGTATGGGCTTTTTGCTTGCCTTGTTTTTAAATCGTTCTTGGGCTTCCTATGAGACAAATTTGTTTTGATCATACGGGCGAGCGGATGCAGAATCTCGCGACCGGGACATGCCCGCTTGACTACTTGTGGAGGCACCTGCAGTTTTTCTTTTCTTGTAGGGCGCCATAGTACCCGTAACAAGCCTCCAACTATCAACTAATGAATCACTTGGCGAACCAAGAGAGGCTACTCAGACTTCACCTTCACAGTTGATCACCAAAATCACACCCTCAATCTCATTGTGGCATTTACACAAACACTTAACATGCACAGCTGGTCCTAACCTCCCACAAAGCAATTTTAGCTCTAGCTGGACTATATAAGGATACCTCGCTTTCACTCCTAGTAACTATCTGGTATGTTTCCATGCTGTAACTCAACCTTCACCCACATGAGAAGGAGAACAAAAATAAAGAATCAAAAATAAATTGCTACACACAAGCAAAATAAAACAAAATAAAAATAATAAAAGAGAGAGAAAACATCTCACTAACCTGAGGTGTCTCTGAGGAAGAAAGCTTGTGAGGATAGGTGAAGGGAGAAGAGTAGGGGGTGTTTTGGTATTGATTTTACAGAGGGGAGATGAGAGAAGGAGGGTGGAGTTAGGGTTCGTTTAGTGTAGGGGGAGGAAAAGGAAAAATTTAGAATTTGGGGTTTTGAGGGGGGTCCGAAATTAGAAGGAAAACAGAAAACTTACTTGTGCGCGGTCGGGTCATCCCGTGCGCGGCCGCGAATGTTTGGTAGTATACTAGTGAATGTGCGCGGTCATGTGCGAGGTCAACCCTTCAGGTGCGCGACCGTGCACATGCCGCATCGGCTGACATTATCTTTTGTGCGACCATATGTGTGAGGTGCCCCACCAGGTGCACGGTCGCGCACAGATACATTCAAAAGGGGCCTTTTAAATACCTCAGTTCCAACCGTCCGCAACATGTACCTTACTGCACCTACCACGTAGTAATATATACACTAATTTCTATCTATTCTACGCTATAAACAAAAGTGAAAAATCTAACTAGTAGAAGAGTTAGAGGTAGTTCTGAGTTATACTCGTTAGCTTGACTCAACCGGGCATCCTCAACTGATTTTGATGCTCGAGGATTGCTAAGCAAATCCTCCAGCAAGATACGGTTTTAGCCTGTGCCCACTCACTTTGAAGCTCTGTGTTCCGTCAATGTTCTGAATCTCAGTTGCCCCATATGGTGATACATGTTTCACCACATACGGTACCGTCCATCTAGACTTAAATTTTTCGGGGAACAATCTGAGTCTACTATTGTACAGTAAGACTCTGTCCCTTTCATGAAACTCCTTTGACTTAATCAGATGATCATGCCACCTTTTAGTCTTTTCCTTGAAAATCCGCACATTTTCATATGCATCCAGTCTAAACTCCTCCAATACATTCATCTGTGCCAACCTATATTCACCTGCAAGACTAAGATCAAGATTAAGCATCTTAATTTCCCAATAAGCTTTATGTTCTATCTCAACAGGTAGGTGGCACAATTTTTCATACACTAGTTTGAATAGTGAAGTCCCTATGGTTGTTTTGAATGCAGTTCTGTACGCCCATAGAGCTTCTTCCAACTTTACAAACCAATCCTTACGAGAAGCACTAACCATCTTTTCCAGATTCATTTAAGTTCACGGTTAGACACTTCAACTTGCACACTAGTTTGGGCATGGTACGGGGTTCCTGTTTTGTGTGTGACCCCATACTTAGACAGCAGTGCAACAAACTGCTTGTTCACAAAGTGTGACCCATTGTCACTGATAATCACTCGAGGTATCCCAAAGCGGGTAAAGATTTTCTTCCTTAAGAACTCACACACCACCCGAGCATCATTGGTCCTAGTAGGGATTGCTTCGACCCACTTAGAGACATAGTCAACGGCTACTAGGATATACTCATAAGAATGTGATGATGGGAACGGACCTATGAAGTCAATGCCCCACACATCAAAAATTTCACATACCATAATGGAGTTGAGAGGCATTTTGTCCCTCTTGCTAATATTACCTACCCTTTGACATTTGTCACATGCAGCTACATACACTCTTGCGTCTTTGTACAAAGTAGGCCAAAAAAAACCGGCTTCCATGACTTTTGCTGCAGTGCGATTTCCACCATAGTGTCCTCCAACTGATCCATCATGGCAATGAGACAGAACGCTTGCCATCTCTCCTTCAGGCACACATCTTCGAATTACACCATCTGCACACAATTTAAACAATAAAGGGTTATTCCAAAAATAACTTTTTATCTCACCTTGAAGCTTCCTTCTTTGATCACGAGAGAGGTCACGAGGTAACCATCCACCAGCCAAAAAGTTGGCTACATCAGCATACCAAGGTGGCCTTTCGGAGACCGCAACAATGGAGAAAATCTGCTCATCAGGGAATTCTTCCTTTATTTCAACTGTTTCAACCGGAGGTCTCTCAAATCGAGATAGATGATCCACGACTTGATTTTCTGTGCCTTTCCTATATTTAATCTCCAAGTTAAACTCTTGGAGCAACAACACGCACCGCATCGGACGCGACTTGGACTCCTTCTTACTCAACAGATATTTCAAGGCTGAGTGATCCGTGTGTACAATAACTTTACTCCCCACCAGGTATGATCTAAACTTGTCAAAAGCAAAGACCACAACAAAGAACTCTTTTTCAGTAGTGGTATAGTTGACTTGAGCATCATTCAACGTCCTGCTTGCATAGTAGATGGGCCTAAAAATTTTATCTTTTCTTTGCCCCAGAACTGCCCCACAGCTATATCACTGGCATCACACATTATCTCAAATGGCTGGCTCCAATTAGGTGTCATCATAATAGGAACACTTACAAGCTTTTCCTTTATCAATTCGAAAGCTCTTAAGCACTCCACATTGAAAACAACCTTGACATCTTTTGCTAGCAATGCAGTCAATGGGTTGGTAATGTTGAAAAAGTTTTTGATGAACCTCCTATAGAACCGAGCATGTCCCAAGAAACTCCTTATGCTCTTCACAGAAGTCGGTGGAGGGAGCCTAGAAATCACATCAACCTTCGCTCTATCAACTTCAATTCCTTGTGCAGTTACTTTGTGGCCTAAGAAAATTCTCTCCTTTACCATGAAGTGAAACTTCTCCGAGTTAAGGACCAAGTGCGTGGCTTCACAACGTTCAAGCACGAGCTCCAAATTCTTTAGGCAGTCCTCAAAGTCATCACCAAAGAGAGTGAAATCATCCATGAATGCTTCTATATACTTTCCGTTTAAATCAGAGAATATAGACATCATGCACCTCTGAAAAGTTGAAGGTGCATTACACAACCCAAACGACATCCTCCTGTAAGCAAAAATACCTGACGTGCAAGTAAATGTGGTCTTCTCAATATTTTCACGGAGCAATGTGTATCTGATTGTAGCCTGAGTACCCATCCAAAAAGCAGTAACATCCATATCCAGCCACTTTCTCGAGCATTTTTACACTACTGTCATGCCCTCCTTCTTAGGTACAACTTGTACTGGACTAATCCACTAGCTATCAAAGATAGAAAAAATCACTCCAGTATCTAGCAATTTGATGATCTCCTTGTGAACTACCTCCTCCAAATTTTTGTTCAGCTTGTATTGGCTCTGCACCACTGGCTTGCTATTTTCTTCCAACAGAATTTTGTGCATGCAAATGGCCGGACTGATTCTTTAAATATCAGCTATACTCTATCGCACGACCTTTCTGTGCTTTTTCAGCAGCTCCACCAGCTTTCACTCTTGTGTACCTATCAAGTCCGCAGAAATAATCACAGGAAAATTGTTAGTTTCAAGAAAAAATATATTTTAAGTGAGTGGGGAGGACTTTCAATTCCACATTAGGCTTAGCAGCTTCCTCTTTTAGTTTCCTCCTCATCAACCACTTGATCCTCAGTCTCAAGAGCTTCTGCCTTTTTCTTTATTTCAGGATCTTCATTCTCCACTGTGCTAGACTGAGTAATACACCTCTCTATAGTATCCCCCACAAGCTTGTTGAACTTGTATTTTTTATCCAATTTTCCAACAACGTCCAGCTTGAAACACGAGTAGACGGACGCCTCATCACTGGGGTATTTCATCATCCTCTTCATCTGAAATACCACTTTTTCGTTGCGCACTTTAAGCATAAACTGCCCTTCATAGATATCAAGGATAGCTTTGACTGTACATAAGAATGGCCTCCCTAGAATTAGAGGCGCCTCCATGTTCACCTCCATATCCACCACAATAAAATCTACGGGGAACACAAACTTTTCCACCCTCACTAAAATATCTTCAATGATTCTCTCAGGTAGAATGATGGTTTGTTCAGCCAGTTGTAGGGAGACTGGTATTGATTTGATCACTCCAAACTCACCTTCCAGTTTCCTAAATACAAACAGAGGCATTAGATTTATAGACGCACCAGAATCACAGAGGGCCTTATCGAATGTTTCACTCCCCAACGAGCATGGTATAGTGAAGCTTCCTGGGTCCCCACACTTTTGGGGAATTTTATTTTGCGAGATGGCACTGTAGTGGGCGTTTAGCTTGACCACTGTTATTTCCTCTAATTTTCTCTTGCTAGACAGAATTTCCTTTAAGAACTTGGCATAAGCAGATATCTGAGTGAGTACCTCTGTGAAAGTAATGTTCATATAAAGTTGCTTGAGCATCTCCAGGAATCGCCCAAAACATTTGTCAAGTTTCTCCCGCTTTATCTTTTGAGGGAATGGTAGAGTTGGCATATGTCTACTTTCTTCAATCTCCTTTTGTATCCCGCTACTCTGGCTCTTTTGCTCTTCACTCTCTTTCTCTGCTGTGTTTCAATCTGCTTGCTAACCACCTCAGGTCTAGCTTTCACCTCTGGGTCAGTCAATGCTTTGCCACTTCTCAGAGATACAACTTTGATTGTTTCCTTTGGATTTTTTTCAGTGTCAGAGGGAAGAGTATCGGGAGTCCTCTCAGATAACAAATTCACAATCTGTCCCATTTGTCTTTCTAAATTCCGGATAGTCGTGCCCTGATTCTCAAAATTTTCATTTGTTTTGTTGATGAATGCCTTCATGAGATCTTCCATACTTGAATGAATTTGCTGTGGTGGATGGTATTGCTGCTTCTGGTGGTTCGGAAAACCTAGTGGTCCATGACCCTGGGGTCTGAGATTGTTTTGCTGCCATGAGTTCATGCTCCCATTAGGTGAACTCCACGAAAAATCTGGATGTCTTTGATCCATAGCATTATAGTTGTTCCCACCTTGGTAGTTTCCTCTATTAAAGTTCCCCACATCATTGACTTTCTCAGCTGTAGCTTGACACTCATGTGTAGGGTGTCCCAATCCACAAATGTCATATCCCACCGACGATTCTACTTGGTTCCCCACAGCGTTGACTTTCTCAGCTGTAGCTTAACAATAGCTGCAATTTGAGCCTGCATTGCTACCGACGATTCTACTTAGTGCACCCCTGCTGATCTTCTTCGATCCCCTTGGTCAGTGGACCATTGTTCTGCGTCTTCAGATAGTTCATTCAGAAGAATTACAATCTCTTTGGGAGTTTTCTTCATCAAAGGACCTGCAGCCGCACTATTCAACAATCTCTTTGATGACGGGTTTAACCCGTCCCAGAAGTACTGGAGTTGCATCCATTGCTCCATTCCGTTATGAGGGCACCTCCACAATAACTCCTTAAATCTTTCCCATGCCTCGAACACTGTCTCCCCTTCACCTTGGCTGAAATTGTGAATCTCTTTCCTCATCCGTCCAGTCTTAGTCGCAGAGAAATATTTATCTAAGAACTTGGAAGTCATGTCTTCCCACGTACGGATTGATCCTGTAGGCAGTCTTCTCAACTACTGCTTTGCATCATCCTTAAATGAGAACGGAAATGCTCTGAGGTAGATGGCATCATGTGATGCTCCATTGTAGCGGAATGTGTTCATAATTTCGTCGAAGTCCATCGGATGGTTGTTGGGATCTTCATTGGGTTTCCCTCTGAATATGCAATTATTCTGAATGGTCTGTATGACTCCCTGTTTGAGTTCAAAATTATTGGCATCAATGGGCGGGGGCCTCATGCTAGACTGTTGTTGGTTGTACACCGGTCTGGCATAATTTCCTATAGACCTCCCAGGCCTAGGGGTTGCATTTTCAAATTCATCTTCGATCATGGTTCGGTTGAGATTGAACCTTCTATCCTCGTCGATTGTTTTATTCGCAACTCTACGGGCTGCTTCAGCTGCTAACCGTGCTTCCTGCCACTGAGCTGTCTCTCTCGCAGCTAGGTTCACCTCCTCTTCGTTGTTCACTATTGTATTCTGAGTTGAAGGCTGACCCAACAGTAATCCGCTCGATCCTTTCTCCCTTCTCAACTACCGTAGGTGCTTGTCTAATTCTGGATCGTATGGCACCAATTCCTTGGAAAAAGATTGAGTCATACACTGCTAAACTTAACCCGTTGCCTGCACACAGATAAGAGGAGCGTAAAAAAAGAAAATAAAATAAAATTGCTCCTGATTTAGCACCAAAAATTAATTTAAACACTATTAATCGCCAATCTCCGGCAATGACACCAAAATTTGACGAGCGCGAAACTGGTGTATAAAACTTAGGCTCGCTAGGCAAAGATAGTATAGTATTAAATCGTCTCCACATGGATTGATTTAAATAATATTCTAATAAATCTTCACCTCAACACTATCTAGGATAATAAATCTTTGATTTATGTTATTATCGACCACTAATAACACTAAGATTATTGATTGTAAGAAACTAATGGCAATCTAATGACTAAGTAGCAACGATTGAATATCAAGGTGAGAAGTAAGGGCTGTGACAAGATATGTGATCAACTATTATTCCGGGTAACTCTGTGTTAAGTTCACTCTTAAATTCTATTGACTCCTTCGATTTTAACAGATGATTAGGCTACCTTATAGATTCAAATTCTTCTTCCGAATGAATGAGAGTTCCCTTAATCAACCTAATAACAGGTCCTATGAACATATGCACAAATACAGTGAATGAATGATCTTTCGAAGAAAGCCTCTCGACTATTCGTCTAAACTGGGTTAATTGATAACTCTCTAAGCTCTTTCGATTACCTATGAGATGTGTAAAATCAACCCAAACAATATGGCACAATGTGAATTGCAGCAACACTTCTCTTTCGATTAAAGTAGAACCACAATTAGCCTTGCAATTCAGTTAATAACTCATTCAATGAATTTGAGAAATTAACAGAGAGTAAAACCCAAAACAATAGTCAAATCACAATATCCGTCAATAACCCTAAGAAATATTACACCATAGTGGAGAAGTTATTCATCACAGGAGTATTAGAAGAACAAGAAGACATTACAATTCCCCAAAATCAGGCAAACTTCCGTATTGAATGAATTGGATGGAGTATTATGAGTCTCCGTGTTTCCTTGCCTTCTTTTCTCCCAAAAGTTCCTCTAAAAATCCCAGATACCGTATTTTTAGACGAGCTAGGCTTCATATAGGTCAAAAGGAGTCGCCTCCGAAATCACGAAAATAGGCTTGGGAAAAGTTTCCGAAACTGGACGTGCGCGGCCGCGCACTTGGAGGTGTGACCGCGCATATGGTCGCGCACCTCTGGCAGTATACTGCTTTACTTGCGCGCTGGAGGGGTCTCATGCGCGGTCGCACACCTGGGTGAGCCTCCTGCTCAATTCTTCGTTTCTCTCGCTAAGTGCACTATTGTCCGTTGATCCCCGAACACGATCCCAACTTAATCCTTCGGCTTTTACTCAGACTTCAAAGTTCCAAAATAGCTCGAATTAGCTCCACGACCTCATCGTAACTCGGAATCGCTCCTACAAGGCATAAAACACACACTCAACGCCAAATAATACCATTTAAGGCTCAAATATTAGTAAAGTGCAGCAAATTAGAGTGCAATTAATGACAAAAAATATGCAAGTATAGCCTACCATCATTAACGCCGCTTTGCATCTCATCAATTAGAACAAATATTTAATAATAGAGAGACATATACAACCCTTTTCCATTGAAAGAAATCTCCGAGGAATATGAATTGAAGCGCTCTAATTGACAATAATTGGATGAATGTCTTCGGACAGTAGAGCATGAAAATCCACTTATAGTCATTGCAAAAAATTTCTCTTCGTTGTTTTCATGTAATTTAGACTTAATAATGAAGTCGATAACAATTCCGTGGTTAGGTTTTGACATTAATTTATTTGGAAAAATTACCAACTGAGTTAAAAAAAGGTTTTGACGGGACCTTTACACAAATAGACGGTCATATTTATTGTTTACTTTTTCTAGTTATATACATAGATTATACCTTGATATTATACAATAATACACATATAATATATAAGTCATGTATATATTATACTTTCACCGGCTATTTTTAATTTAAGCGGTTGAGTGGATTGTTATTTGGGTAAATTCTGACATAGTTTAATATAATCAGTGTTTTAAAAGGCATTTTCAGGGCGAGCTCTGAGGCGAGGCGTACCAAAAACGCCCCGAGGCGATGGTGTGGGGCGAAAGTCTCAAGAGGCGTACACCCAACAATTCGGGGCGTACGCCCGGCGTTTGAGGCGCATTTTTTTAGTGAGACGTAAGTCCCAGAGACTTTTTCAAATTAAAACAAAATTTGTTGGATAAGTCATTCATATAATACCCAAATTTTCAAAAGTCAGCTTGGTAATTACTCAAAAGTTTTAAAAAGGAACTGAAATGTATTAAATTTAAAAGTCAAGATTGAAGTCCTAATTCATGGTCTTTCACAATTCTTTATCTTGTCCGCTAGTCTGCTAGTATATCCCAAAAGCAACAAATATTCAATTTTTTTTTAACAAATACAAAGAGAACTTCATTCTCCTTCATAGCAGCAAGTTCAAAGTTCAAATTGCAGGTTAGTCATCCTTTTTGTTCCTCCATGTAGAACAAATATTCAATTTTTTTTTTTTAACAAATACAAAGAGAACTTCATTCTCCTTCATAGCAGCAAGTTCAAAGTTCAAANACAATTTTACCTGTCTATAAATATTTACTGTAATTATATTATTTAATAAAATATTAAAAATTAAATACCTATGGGGCTTACGTCTCGATGAGGCAAATATAAAACGCCTCGCCTTACGCCCACGCCTTTTAAAACACTGATTATAATTAGTAACTGAGTTAAAAAAAGGTTTTGACATTAATTTATTTGATATCGGAACCGACTGCCGTGACGGATTCATGGACGTGCCCAATTTTGCTTTCAAGTTTTATCTAGTTGAGGATTGAGATCTGCTTTTTATTGGTCGTTTATATTTCCCCTTTTTTGGGTGACTTATTAGCTCCTACTTTACCAGTGCTAAATTACCTACAAAATAAAAAAACAACGGGGCATTGCTCTCCCTGTCATGTTTCTTTCTTTCTTATTTCACGACGAGATGACAACTTTTGGGAAGAATTCTAATGACGTTAACTTTTACTTCGAAATGGTAAAATGACAAAAAAAAAAAAAAAAAAAAAAAAAAAAAAAAAAAAAAAAAAAAAAAAAACACTCTCTTTATCATTTCAACTGAAATAAAAAGAGAATTTTGATGTACAGTCAACGTAACAATAGACCAACGGCCAATGTGAATATTGTTGTAAACGAAAATGAAATTGAACTTATTTTACTGAGAGTCAACAAGTTTGTGCTATCCTTTGACTCTGCACAGACTGTTGTACGTGAGAATTACCAAGAAAACATAAACTATAAAGAGAAAGTACAAAGAAGCTAAGAGAAATTATTGGCTTGTTAGTCTTTATAAGGCTCTTCACCGAAGCATTTGGTCAGTAACTATATTTCTCATCAAAACTCTCCCCAAAATAAACGGATGAATAATTCTTTTGAGACATTCTTGTCCGAGCAAAACCATCCGCCACGCTAGGAGAGATCAATACTTCTTGCATTGTGCCATGTGTTAGAATATGCATTCATTGAGGTAACCAATTGTGCATTTTTGAAGCTTATAAATTCACCAATCCAACCATTTCAAAATCCATTCCGTTTTTGCATTTTGATCAACAATTACTACTGCTACTTCTAAACATAAACAAGTTAAGCAACAAAAACCAATTAACATGGCAAGCCAAGGACGTGACAACCTTCATAGCATCCAAATCCCCGGCCAAGCCCAGGTTTTCGTTTAAATTCTTAACCTTCCTTTACCCATATGAAGCTCTGCCTTTTAATTCTTTATACTAGTACTAACTTTTTTTTTTTTTTAATTAATTGTAGATGAGAAGGGAAGACTTGTTGAATCAACCATCTGACATCCATAACCAAAGCCAAGCAACCAACTTGCTTCAAGAGGTTAAGACTTCTAAATTTTCTTGCTGATTAATTAAGAGATTAAGATGGAAATTGAAAGAATAATTAAGTTGTGATGTTATTAATGTTTCAGACGGGGACACAAGTGAAGAACATAGCACAAGGAGCAGCAGATATGGCTCAAGGAGCAGCAGGAAGTGCAGTGAACATGGCTCGAGGAGCTGCAACTGGTGCAGCAAACATGGCACACGGCGCAGCTGATGCAGTCAAGAATACTCTAGGAATCAATCCTGATTCCCACAACACCACTGACACCAACTATTTCAATCATCCCGGCACCATCAATTACAATGATGCAAATGCTAACACCACTGTTCCAGGCGATACAAATTATCCTGGCAGCTTGAACTTTCCTACCAACTCAATCAATCCCAGCACCGGCATTTAAACTGTCATTCGAGAATTCTTGTCATAGTTTTGATTATTGCGATTCATAATTTTTCTTCCCTGTTTTGTTTTCTTCTTCTTTTTTTTTTTACGGGAGATTGCAGACTGGAGGAGGCATGTTCTTCTAATCTCAATCCTCCATTCCCTGGTATAAAATAAGCTTCAATTTTTTCCCCCCTGAAAGAATACGTTGTCAAGTTGAAAAATGTTGATTGACCTACTAATTTTATTTATATCCTTGTTAATTTATTTGTTTAAAGATGTACCTGACCTGCAACGTTTGTTTTTATTTTGAACCTTGCTATATTTCCTCCTTCGATCCCCCCTCCCCACAACAATCACAACATTAATTATACTAGTACAACTCAATCACAAGTTAACTAGTTGGGAACAAAAATAGATTTAGATTAAGTGATGGAGGGCTTTTGACAAAATAATAGTGATAAAAGTAACAACACAATTATGATCTATGAATTTGCAAATTTACCTGTTAGGAAATCTCTTGATGATAATGTGGTCACGGCGGATTCAAAAGCAAGATGACACTTTTAATATTCAATAAAGGCTAAACCATAAGTTACACGTATAATAGTTGTGATATTAAATACTAATACTAAGCCTCAAGTTATACTAGTTGCTTAGATTGATTTAAGAAATTTTATTAGTCTCTTGGTATTAAATATTGCTCAGTTTTGACAAAGAAGACCCTTTATTATTCCAAAGCAAATGGTTAATGGTAGAATGATATGAAGAAGACCTCTTCGACGTCGTTTTGGTCATCTAAGAAAGAGGGAAGAGTATAATAACACCTGTTCAGTCGATTTGCCACAGTCCCACTACCGATCGCCTCATTTCGCCCATGTTAACAGTCATTCTCTATGTTTCAAATTTTTATTCCTTTTTAGATAGAAGTACAGTTTAGCACAACGACCATCTGGGTCACTCGATTTTAAACTCCCACAAACGCGATCAAGCAAGTTTTTCTGATTTTTTCAAAACCCGGGTGAGTATGCCTGCTAATAATTTTGGAATTTCCTATAAACATGAGGATGAGGAGAATTATTCTAACCATTGGCCTCGGTTTATCACGAGTGGCCAAAAATGTGGGATTAATTCTAACGCCGAATATCAAGCTTTTAAGAGACCCAAAATGATGAATTCAAAAATGGGGCTAGAAGACAACAGGTCAAATGTGGCTATGACCGTTGGTCCTCAACCACCATGCTTACAATTCAAAAGGTGGGGTAGCTGCAGTTATGGCGACGAGTGTCGTTATGCTCATATTACTGGGCCTTTGAAAGGCATTAGGGTTGAGGATCAAAGAAATCTCAGTAAAGTGAAATCATGTCATTTTTTCGGTAGTGGTAAGGAGTGTCCTTATGGAAATAAATGCCATTTTCTTCATGAACGTAATCAAAAACCTGAGGGGGGCGTAGGTTTTTGCAGGATCAGCTCTGCGATAAGCATTGCGACTATTGGGCGTGAAGTGAGAAACAACACTTCTTCTGATGCTGTGGATTTACGTATCAAGTTGCTGAAGACCAGGTTTTGCATCAATTGGGAAAGGACTGGTACCTGTGCATATGGTTCAAAGTGTCAATTTGCTCATGGGAAAGCAGGTTTTTCCACAACTATTAGTTCATTATTGAATGCTTATGCCCCTGTTTTTTTGTTCAGTATTTGATTAGTTGCTTGAGTTGATTTTCAAGTTGGTTAGTAGATATTCCATGTCTTTGTCCGTAAGCTGTTTCTGAAAATACTTTTATGTCAGTTAATGATTTATTACGAACAACATGTGAAAGTTCTTTCATTATGTATATTAGGTGTTGGATTTTTTCCTCAAACCTTTTGGCACTTCCAAAATGATATGCATAAAGCAAATTGTCAAGAGTCATTTTGGTGATCTGAATAAGAAGCTTAGGACACATGGTTAATGTGCAATTTCCTGGTTTCCAACTTCTATTTTCCGATCTCTAACAGGCACCTTTTTCTCTTTAAATTTCTGTTTAATTTGTTTTTGTACAAGACATTTTGGCGACAAACATGCTAATGCCAAAGTACCTGCCTGTTTATATGTCAGTTGATGAACTTTTATTGGATGCCAACTATAAGGATGGACATGTATTACGAGTCTATGTTCAAACATGTCATGGACACTCATGTCTGTCTTCCAAGTAATCACTTTAACCTGCTATCTATTTATGTAAAAGATCACACTAAGCTGCATATGCTTTCTGCTCTCAGCTGATGATTTGATGCTGATACTTGATTCCCATATAGCAGGGGAAGATTCAAATACTGCATTGAATTGCTATTGAAGCTTTCTCTTCTAGAAATTCCTTGAGCTTATTTAATACAACACATAATGATGCAGTTTATTGTTGGATATTTCTAAAAAGAAATTGTCTGTTCTATTCTTTGATTTCTGCCAGACCATTTTCTTCTTTTCGTTTCTGTTAGGCATGTTTTTTGTACCATACATATTGGTGACCGACATTCTATTACCAAAGTACCTGCCTGTCTAAATGTCGGTAGATATACTTTTAATTGGATGTCAACTATAAAGATGGACATATATGCTGAATCTATTTTCATCATTTCATGGACAGTCCTGTCTATATGGCTTCGCCCTGCTATCTATTTATCTGAAAAGATCACCAGATTAAGTTGTCTCGAGTTTCTGGCCTCAGCTGTTGACTTGGTGCTAATACTCGATTCCTTATAGCAGGGGAAGATTCAATTATTGCATTTAATGGCTAGTGAAGCTGCTCTTTTGGAAATTTCATGAGAATAGTTATTAACACATGTTGCTGCAGTTTTTTCTTGGATATTTCTAAAATGAATTGTGACTTCTGCTGCCAGAATTTATAAGGTGCTGACATTGTAAATTGCTGTGTGATTAGGAGGTGGAGTCTTAAGTTTTGGTCTTAGGTGTAGAGGATTAGAATGGTTTTTGTGTTACAAGTTTTTATGTTTGTTAATTATGCAATGTGCTGTGTTTAGACCTCAGTCAAAAACCTATATCTCAGAATTCCTGAAGATGCTATTGTGTGAAATTCAGCACTTCAACATAAGATGGTAGAGCCATGCAACAATTTTTCTTTCTATATATGCTTTTTTTCTCTTTATTTTTTTGATTGTATTCATCTTGTTTTCCTTAGACCATTTCTAATTTGTGATGCTTCTCAATATTGACAGAACTGCAGACTCTTGGATCTTCCAATACACTGGAGTCGTTGGGAAGCGCTGGCATTTGTGCTCCAGCCAAAAATGCAGCATCCGAGTGTAGATTCTTATTCAAGTGGACTAACGTACAGAAGATCAGCCAGATCTATGCTGACTGGATTGAAAGGGTACAGCTTGTCCCGTTATCATCACACACAGTGGAGAACTGAAGAACCTGAACTTGTGGAACTTTGATCAATTTTTGAAGTGGTTAATTAGGTGACCTTTTACGTATGCAGGGGCGACAGTTTTGATAACTCTTTAAGTTCAAAATGCTGCTTGCTTGATGCATAGCACTTCGTTTTTAATTTGAAGAAACCTGCCTTGTTTTTGTCTTGTGAAGTGAATGTATAGTGTCACAAATCAGAATTGGCTCATAGGTTCAGCAATGTATGGTGAATGATGCAAGTCAAAAGTACAGTTTCTACAACAATAGGTTCAGCAAAGATATACACATCTACCGGAAGAGGACTTCGTGAATGTGGGATGTCTTGTTGTTTAGCACTGTCCATGGAGTTTTCTATTTTTCCAATTTTTCCTAGTCTCATTGATCTTTTTTGATTGCATCCTCAAATTTTCATAGTCCTTTTGGAATCTGGAAGCTTAATACTTAATACATTTCTTTCTTTTTCTTCTGGGAAAGAGCTGTCCAAGATTGCAATTACAAGCTTTTTCAACTGCATTCAAGGAGTTAATAGGCCCTCAAGATGGGAATGTAATAGACTAGAGCATTGATAAAGACCATGACTCATCCCAAAACAAGCCAACACAGATTAATCATCTTCCCAAGTTTCACAATTTCACATGCATGATTAATCATTTCTTTTTATATGTTTTATATCATCAAAGTAGGTGCGCGAATTTGTTGCATTTCAAACATTAATCGACAGCCTTTAGCTCTAAGTTAAAAGCACACATAAAGAAAAAACAAAATTTCCACAATTTTTTATTAACTTCAACTTCAAAAAAAATCTTTTTTCTTTCTTCAACTGAAAAGTCTGAAAAACTTAAGCATTGTTACTATTTCAACCCCCCCCCCCCCAAAAAC